GCCCCCCCCCCGGCTCCTCCGCCTCGGGCCCATGAGGAAACACACCCCTTCCGGCGGCCTCACCCTCCGCGGGGCGCGGGCTCGCCTCAGCCTCGCCGCCCGGCAGGCCCGGGCCTGCCCCGGCTCCCCGGGAGCGGCCTCACACCTCGGCTGCGGAGGGCGGCGGGGCGGGCAGGTGCCTCCGTCCGAGAGGCTTTCGAGGCGCCAGGCCGTGGGCGCCGGGCGCCGGTGTGCGAAGGGAGGGCTCCCGCCCCGCAGCCTCCTCGGCCGTGGCCCTGGCTCCCTCGCTCGACCTCGTCCCCGGCAAAGGCCCCGGGAAGCTCTTTTCCCGAGTTGAACACGCCTTGACGCCTGTTCCGGAGAAACAGGCCGCCTCCCGGGTCGGTGGCACCCGGGGAGGTCTGCTCCCGGGCCGGGGCAGCGCAGAGAGAAGGGGTAGGGGGGAGCCGAGGGAGGCTACGGCCACGCGAGGGGAGGAGAGCAGATCCTTGGTGGCCAAACAACGCGACGCAGGACCCCGTGCTCATTTGCCAGGTATCGACGGAATCCGAAGATCGTTTTTTACCTGAAGGTCTTCAGGGTAACGCGCAACTACCTGCGCTCAGTGGCGATTGCTGGAAGAACACAGAGCTTCCCTGCCCTCCCCCGAAACAGCACAGAGTTGAGGAATTATGGGCAGGTGGCTAAGGACAAAGGTTGGAGACTGTGCCATTTTTGGCACAAATTCCCAAGCTTTTGGAGATGATTCCATACTGAGTATGGGCGTTTTGAGCTTCCTGTATGAAAAAAATAGTGTGGCAACACTGCTTACGGTTCACAGCAAACTCTTATCCGTGTTTCTAGTGCTGAGGTCCGTTTTACCCAGCCAGTGTTAGGAACAGAACAATAATATGTGGAGACTTATTTAAAGAAAAAAAAAAAAGAAAATCACAGAATGTGTAATAAACAAGAGAGGGGCATCACTGGTTTTCTATTCACGAAAAGCCAACACAAAATGAAACCAAAATGTACTGTCTTTTCTGGTTTGCGTATCTCCAAGTGTCTGCAGTACGATCTGTACCCAGTACACTGAGTTTAACCACACCAAACTTGTTTTTCCTAGTTATCTTTTATAGACTTCTTAGTACATGGGAACAGACCACAAGCTGGAAAACCTGAAGTAAAGTTTTGACTGAGCACTGGCACAGGCTGCCCAGAAAGCTTGTGGAGTTTCCATCCTTGGAGATAACTAAAAAGCCATCTGGTAACGGTCCTGGGCAACCTGCTCCTGGTGGCCCTGCTTGAGCAGGGTACTGGACAAAGTGACCTCCTAAGGTCCCTTCCAACCTCAGCCATTCTGTAAAAGTATCAGAAGCTTACAGTTATGCCCGGGAGAGGTCTGTCTGTCTCTTAAGCAACGCATGAAAACACAAGGAATGCATACAGGTATAGTTAAGCTGATGTAAATATTTCAGTAACAAGCTGTAAACTTCCCATACAATAATGGCAGCTTTATTATTTTAGCAATTACAGAGTTTTGCAAATACTTCAGTTTAAGATTGGGGAATTAAATGGCAGTACTTTATGTTAACAATAAAGTATTGCCAGACTGGTATGTAATTACAGGCAAATATAAGTCTGCTACAAAGTATGGATGACAAATGTATTCTAGTAGCTAGGCTGCGAGGGAAATGAAATTCCAGCAAAGATTGTGTTGCTGATCAAACAATAACAGCTGCCGTAGCACTCCTATCTCCTCTACCTCGTGTTACGGTGGAGGTAGAGGGAGCTGCAGAAAGACAACAGGACATACTGATAGCTGGAATTACTCTGTGGACACTGTTAAAATTATGTGAAGGACAATTTTGTCCCGCTAAGTTCAGTGGCTAGTGAGGGATTCGGTACAATGACTCTTACCGGGATTGTATTTCCTCTGCAACTGAATTCAATTAGCAACATCTAAGACTGCTGTCGAGGGAAAGGAACACAGAGAAATAGAGAGACTGGAAATAAGAGGGGAAAGGAAGAGAAGCTAAGGACTCAAAAATTGGGTTGACTTAGAAGGGGAAAGATCTCTTCAGGTACCAAGGAGGCCTGGGTAATTTGCCCCAGTGAAAGAAAACTGAAAGACTTCATGTGAAGGCAACTAGCGTCACAGTGGGTTTTTTTGTTTGGGTTTGGGGGTTTTTTGGAAAAGGAACACTAGGCTGGTATTTGCAACATTTCACATTTGAAGGTTCAATTACAGCAAAGGCTGTAAAGATCTTTGATCTTTGTATCAGCAGCAAAAAAAGGTCTCAAATCTTTTAGAAAGGCTGTTTCACAGTTCTCCACTGAAGGACGTTTTTGGGAACAGATTAAGGGTCGGGATGATAAATGCGTGTTTACACTTGGTCCCTGGCACACACATTGAGCCAGAAGGCATTATAATGCTAAAGAATTAATAATGATCCCATAACGTATCTCGTCTGCCTACAAGGAACAGTGTTAATTTCTGGCTTTAACATCTATAAATAATCTGCACTGGTTAGCTGTGAAGCTGAGGAAAAGATCCATTTGAGCACAGAATGAAACACAAATATTGTCACGCCTTTCTTTTGGACCTTTCCCATTTCTGCTCATGGTTAGCCAGCTGTTTTAACGGTGAGGTTAGCTTGAGGTTTAAAGATGTAGAGCTGTTTTAAAGGTGTAGATTTTAAAACTGATTGTTAAGGGAATTACTGGATCCTCACCAGATTCAAATCGTCTAGCAATTCCAGCCTTTTAGGAACAACACACAACCCTGCTGAGAAGTAGATTGTCATACTTTCAAAATACAAATGAAGCCTCAGCTTAAAAAGTAAAAGTGTCGCTCCAAGAGTCAGGAAACCACAAAGCACGGTCCCAGCCCTTGTGGGACTTGTGAGTGGCTGTTTCCTGGAACACTACCTATATTTTGCTGCTGTTATTTTTCTTGAAAAGTAAAAAAAGTGTTAAAGCAAAAGCTGATGCCTGCTGCTTTGATGTGCACTCTGTGTTTTCACTTAAAGATACAAAGTGAAAAGCTAATAGTACCAGTAATAGTTACGCAGGTGCTAAATCTCTTTCACAGCAACACATTAAAATTAGGCTCATCAGTCATATTACTTCTATGTTTAATACTAAACCCTCAAGGGACACCATATTGATTTTAAATCTACTGATGAAGACATTCCCATTTTCTTTTACCGTTCAAGTGGAGGTGCTTCACTACTACCTGACTACTCAGCAGTAATAGTACACTGGACTACTGCTAGGAATCCCTACACACTCAGTATGTGGTTTAGAAAACTATTGTTTTCTTCTGAATTTTTTTATACTCCAAGTAGTGCATTTCTTACGCAATTGTTTTCAAGCTCATATATACCCTGAAGGAAAGATACAGTCAATTTTTTTAGGTAACGCTGTATTTTAACAATGGCATTTAAAGTCATAAAGCTTAAGGAATAACTCAAGTAACAACGCACAAGAACTGAAGGCTGCTCAAAGGTTTATGTACGTACATGCATACAATCTACTCACAATCTGGTTAATTTTTACCAAGAATATGATCAATAGGGTGGTCAGAAGATACCTCCGTTCCATAGTATCTCATTTTTTATCTTATGATAAAGCGCAAGCTAAAGTCATTTCCAGGTGTAAATGAATCTTGCTCTGAACGAAGTCATATACAGCTTCTAGGTGTTTTGACACAGAGTGAGTGGTTGGAAGGGGGCGATCTGCTAGCTAGACAAAGAGAGCAGGGCAGGCATTCCAGAGGGTCGTTCCCCTTTAGATTTTTAAATCATTTTTAACTTTCAAGACACTGTTGCCACACTCTGCTTTCAGCGTCACAATGATGACATATAAAATGCAAACAAACAAAAAAAGAGGTCCAGTTCCTGTATGATCCTAGAAGATGGACGAGAAAATATTTGTGTCCACATACAATTTCCGAAGCACTCCAATACCAAGAGAATAGTATGGGAACCTAGATTACATAGATAAATTCTTAAGATTTAATCTTTTGAAATCTATGGCCTTAAACCATCCTCAGAAGAGGAAAGTCATCACTGCAAAGCTATTTAGTCCCAATTCCTGAGAGTGATCTAACCTTTCTTGGGGCTGAGGATAATACTCAATCATCTTTTACATTAAACTCGCACATCCTAACAGAATATTCTTTCAAAGAAATGAAACCTAAGGAACACTTTATGGATCCATTCGCATAGGAGACACTTATTTCCCAGCTGGTATATTCTGTAGCATGAAAAGGTAATGATTAAGCCAAAGTGACCACTGGAGAAGGCACTTTCCTCACTGTTAATGACTGGCTGGAAAAACCAAGGGCCAAAGAAAAAGCCAGACAGTCATTAACTGCTGAAAATTCCTGACCTAAAGGTCATTATTACTATTATAAAACTGGAAAATGAGAAAGTGATTATTTTCTTTGGGTTTTTATATGTATTGAAAAGATAAAATTCCAGTGTCTGTTGCTGTGGATACTGGTCTGTAAGATACTTATCTTCCCCATTCTGGCAGGCTATGCATGGATAGATCTGGGACTGGCAACCCTTCAAGAATGTGTGCCAGACTGTATTTTCCTTTTCCAAATTACAGGTTAAACGTGCCCACAGAAAGTCAACAGGAATCGGGAGGCGCTGCCAGTCGGCGCTATCTTGCCTCGGTGTGAGGCAGTAATTCTCCCCACTCTCACCCAGTCCTTTGCTCAGTGGGAGCCAGAAGCTGGGTTGTCTGGGAGCTGCAAATGACTCTCAAATTGTCGTGACTTTCAGCTCCCACCCTGCTGTATACCATTCAAAATCTTGCTAAATACCATCTTCTGTACTCAGGC